GTTGGAGAGGGGCGGCAGTGTCATGTTAGCGGGACAACCCTCGACGGACGTGTCCAGGTAGGGCGGTACGATGTAGTCTGCGTAGTAGGTGGCACCCAGACCCAGCCACATGCTAGCGATGAAGGCAGTCAGTGTGCCGACAAACGCTCCCTGTGATCAAAATGACGGATGTGAAAACAAAATGTCGGGTGTCAAATCACAATGTCGTGTGTGAAATCATATTGGCGGGTGTGAAATCGAAATGTCGGGCGTGAAATCGGGGTGAAATCAAAATGGCGGGTGTAAAATCAAATGTCAATGGTTTGAAACTTAGTGCGAGGTGAGTGCGGGGGTTGCGTTACTGACGGCGATGAAAGCCGAAGCAAGGATTAAACTATTATATATTATTAAGCCAACACCTTTTCCAGTCTTTGTTATGTCCAACTGCATTTCACAATAGCGTAGAGTCACTCTCAGTCTGTACGAATTATGGTGTAACTGTATATGGCTTAGCTTGTCTCTCTATAGATAGGATATATGAGATATGGTGTGGCTGTGTATGTCTTAGCTTGTTTCACTATAGATTTATGGCTTATAGATTTATAGAGTTATGGTGTGGCTGTGTGTGAGTGTTACCTTAGCATTGCTCCATGGGAAAAGCATTCCTAGCAGAAATACTCCTAGAAGTGGTCCACCAACTGTGCCGTTTACCAGAATTGATACCTAAAAGCAAGATGTACATTCACTCTTTACTCCTGAAAGCTTTAATGCTTGTTCATATTCAATTTAATTGAACGATGTGGACCGGGCGGATTTCTCCTTAATTCCAGTGGACGTTATTTATTGCACACATTTTAAACCAGTTGTCAACATAGTTATGACCATCGTAAGTTTGTATGCCATAAATTATGCACGACGCCCAACCCTAACCCTAACCCTTAGGCCTATTCCAACCCTTACCCTAACCCTTAGGCCTACCCTAACCCTAACCCTCACCCTAACTCTTAGGCCTACCCCAACCCTCACCCTAACCCTAACCCTCACCCTAACCCTTAGGCCTATCCCAACCCTAACCCTTAGGCCTATCCCAACCCTTAGGCCTACCACAACCCTAATCCTTAGGCCTAACCCAACCCTCACCCCAACCCTCACCCTAACCCTCAGGCCAACCCTAACCCTGACCCCGTGACCCTGACCTGGACCACGCCCTCTGCGCCGGATATGATGAATGCGAGGCCGAGGCTGATGCATCCGTACAGCATGGCGAGTGCCTTGGTGATGCGTGTCGCAGTCTCCTGTCGCAGGTGCCCGTAAAACGGCTTGATGCCGTCCTCCCATGTGACGGCCGCCAGCGAGTTGAGACCAGACGATATCGTACTGCAAGCGACGACGTTGACGATGATGATGATGATGTTGATGATGCCGTGATGAGAGAGAAAGAGAGCAGTGGAGAGAGAG